TAACAAACAACCGCCAAGCAATCCGCATCAACCCCGATCAAAGCACTGTAGGAATCCCGTCGTGCTGTTGTGCTGCATCTGCAAATCAGGCAGTCGATCCATGACTCATGACTCTCTCAAAGTGTCCTCAGTCAGTGGTCACCAAAAACAAACAGCCAGAACAAGCCACAACTGGCATGCACCAATGTGCCAACGCACAAACACAGCTGACACATGCCAGCATGCACTTGAAGCATTTACTCATCCCAACACTGCGACTTCCCCTACCGCACGTTGGCGGCAGGAAGGCAACGCAAAGCGAGCTTGCACAGCTCAGGTAATCGAACCATTCAATGTCCCCACCAAATCTCGACGTGGTTGCTTTCGGCTTGATCATCCCTGCTGCCCCGGGCCACTTCTGAACACAAATCGCCACTCCTTGTAACAAACAACCGCCAAGCAATCCGCATCAACCCCGATCAAAGCAGTGTAGGAATCCCGTCGTGCTGTTGTGCTGCATCTGCAAATCAGCTAGTCGATCCATGACTCATGACTCTCTCAAAGTGTCCTCAGTCAGTGGTTGCTTCTTCAGTTCTCATCCTTCTCAGGTGCCAGCACTACAACCTCTGCCCGTACTGCCAACGCATGGTCCAAACAACAAACAGGCAGAACAAGCCACAACTGGCATGCACCAATGTGCCAACGCACAAACACAGCTCACACATGCCAGCATGCACTTGAAGCATTTACTCATCCCAACACTGCCCGACTTCCCCCGCACATTAGTGGCAGGAAGGCAACGCAAAGCGAGCTGCACAGCTCAGGTAATCGAACCATTCAATGTCCCCACCAACTCTCGGCGTGGTTGCTCACGGCTTGATGATCCCTGCCGGCTCGTGCCAGTTTTGCACACCTTGCCAGCCTTGCCCACTTCACCCGCATGACACAAGTCAAATACGCCTCTCCTTGGCACGATGAAGCCCGATCAAAGCACCCATGACTCTCTCAAAGTGTCCTCAGTCAGTGGTTGCTTCTTCAGGTCTCATCCTTCTCGGTTTGCTTGCGCGTGGCAGCTCAACTCCTTTGCTCTTAAGCATGCGGTCAACTTTGATCCATTGCGCCCTTGGACAATTCTTGAACCGCACATTTCCGCTTTTCCAGACACTGCATTGGCCCATGGTTGTCTCTTGGGCCCTTCCTCCCAGCCCCTGCCTCTCCTCCCAGCCGAAGCTCACCGACTTGACGAAGCTGGGGCTCCGGCGACGCCTTCGCATCCCAGCTGAAGCCTGGCATTCGGGTCTTCGGGTCTGGTCGGCTTCTTTATGAGCGGGGCCAGGATGGATGGCTTGGAGGGCTTCATTTTTGGACCGTCCTAAGGAAGAAGCTGGTTTGGAGCAGGGGAGAGAACCCTCTTTTGGAGCTAGGGAGAGAAACCTAGTTGGGAAGAGCGCAGGCCAAGCAGCACGAGCTCTTGAGCGGCTGGAGCCGAAGAACGACACGCTAGGGTCCCCCGGTTTTGTTGAGCAAAATTCCGGCAAGCATCTCCCGGAAAGAACTCAACCACCTGTTGGTTTGAGGCTGCATAGAAAGGAAACCGGCCACGAGGTCTGAGGGTCCATGTGCTTGCCCAATAGGGGGCCGACACCCCATGCCTGCTCCAGGCCCGACAAAATGAGGATGTGTTTTGTTTATTTTCCACTTATCCGGCTGGCAAAAACTGCAACTTACAAGGACGGCAAGGCTGCAAGCCTTGGAACCTGCAAGTGAGACACACTCTGCGAGTTTCGGCACTGCCTGGAAACCCCGAAAGCCTTCCCATGAAAAAACGAGCGGACTCGATGAGGCCACCTGCTGTAGCCTTACCCAAGTGAGCACAGAGCCTCCCCCTTCCAAGCCCCGTCCCACAACGATGCTTTCCACTGGAACAGGATGCCGGGTCCCTTAAGAAGATGCATCTCGGGAAAAACCAGGCCAGCACCGCCAGTGCAGGCTTCGTAGGACTGATCCTCCGCGTTCTTCTGGATCTTCTGCGTACATGCGGTCCGGCCTTAGGTCGGCCACGGAGAAGGCCGAGCATCGACACAACGGGTTCCAAGAGAAGCTGCGTTTCGCTTACTCCCCTCTCCGCCGGGGACCTGCAGAGGGTTGGAGGCATGCTTGAAGTTATGTGTCCCATGCCGAGGTGACCAAAGCCTCCTGCCACAAAACCCAAGTGAAGCAGGATCCAAAAGGTGAGATGTCCTTGCTCGGGCCTTCCAGCTCTTCTCGTTGAAAAACCTCCAAGTCTCCCTCTTTGATTCTATGAGTAGCCCAACGTCCCTCCGGAATCGACCCTGACGCCAAGCAGCACTGCTCCGCGGTCGAAGCGTCGGCGGGCTCCGAGACCACGCCGGCGCCAGTGCAAAATCCTGAAAACACCACCCAACAGTTTACAGCGTAAATGACCAAGTCCACAGGTTGACTGGCAAACCGACATGAAACCAAGAAAAGATGAAGAAAACAAACTTAGTATGTGGTTGGTAAGCCTGGTCATAACCCGCTTGGGATGGGTTGTAGCACTGGTCATGGCTTGCCTTGCAACCATGGGCTATTGCCCACTTACTAAAAACCATGACCCCTTTAACCTCCCGCGGGGCTTCGGCTCCTTTGCCCACGAGGCCCTCCATCGTCTGCACCTTCTCGGTCGCCGGGCCCTTTCCCGCCTACAAAGATTTGCAGCACACACCCACCCACCCACCCACCCACCCACCCACCCACCCACCCATGCACGCACGCACGCACGCACGCACGCACGCACGCACGCACGCACGCACGCACGCACGCACGCACGCAGGGTTGGGGTTGGCGTTGGCGTTGGCGTTGGCGTTGGCGTTGGCGTTGGCGTTGGCGTTGGGGTTGGGGTTGGGGTTGGGGTTGGGGTTGGGGTTGGGGTTGGTTTGGGGTCGGCCCAGGTTGGCTTCGGGTTGGTTGGTTTGAGGCTAAGTTTGTCCTGGGGAGGGACCGAAGGCGGTACCGAATGCCCCCCACCAAGGGGACCGACTTGCCCCATCTCCTCGCCTGGGCCTTCAGGGCAGAGTAGCAGCTCAGCGGGTCGACCTTCCGAAGGCCATAAGGTCGACGGAGTGGGGCAAAAGTTGGGGAGCTGCCACCCCACACGTCAAGGACCCTTGGAAACGCAAGCCGCAAATGACACAGGACCAAGCCATCAAGTATCGCCCCCTGTTCAATGTAAATGGGGCCCTGGAAACAGGCATGACGCAGCGTCACTTTGCTCTGCGCCACTGGTATGTTGGGCGTCCATGCTCCAGATCAAAGCATCACATCAATGAACAGGATCTGCGTGGGGCTACGAGGCCATGCATGTGCCCCCCTTCGCGCGCAGCGTGCGTACTGGTATTCAAGCGCCCCATACAACATGAATCAAGGTCCTGCATCGTAGCAAGCACGTGTGTGCATCGGCATGGTACGTCCAAGGAAACGAGTGCTTGCTCAATACATTGACACAAAGACGTGCGTGCGTCGGTATGGTACGTCTACGAAACGAGTGCCTGCTCAATACGTTGACACAAACACGTGCGTGCGTCGGTATGGTACGTCCAAGAAACGAGTGCCTGCTCAATACATTGACACAATGATATAGGTGATGCCAGGAAGGGTCACGAAGCCTGCACGTCCGCAAACGCATTATGCACAAGCGGTGGCATCCGACGTATGCTTGTCGCTGAGTTGATCTGTTGTTAGTTCTGTGCTAGGTCTTTTGTCGTTGATGTTGACTTCGTCCAGGTGCTCGCCAACTGCTTTTGTCTTGATTCTTTCTGGGCAGGTGCCGTACTCTGATTTCCATGGCCTGGCTTAGCTTGGCTCCCCCCTGTTGTCCTACAACTTGCCACATCCTGCCGTCAAACATGAATTTATGTTCGCTCACAGATCACCTTCTCAAGGACGTCCCATGGACAAACTCCTGAACCCGCTGGTGCCCTCGCACCAAATAACATGGAACTTGACAGGGGGTACCTTGAAAAGGAAAATGGTCACGTATTAACATGGAACCTAACAGGGGGTACGCGTACCTTTAAAAGAAAAGTGATCGGCAGGTTCCATGCTAAGTGGTGGGAGGGTGGTTGGTCCAAGTAGGTTTCATCCATCTCAACTGCAGGAATTCGACCATCCGCACCTAGAAACATCACCCCACTCAATGACAGGTGACGCGTCACAGTGTCACGTGCAGGGCCGTGCCTGGCACATCCACTTCTCAAGCTGACTCACGGTGGTGTCCTGCCACGGGAAGGGTCCCAGGATTCCTTTCTCTCAAGGTCTTGGAGTTGAACTTTAGGGCAAAAACAACTGGGGTTGTGGCCCTGTTTGGGGGAATCCATCTCTAAGTTGCTGGAATGAAGAGGGGAGTCGCCTAGCATCCCTCACTTCGACTTGGTATACTGCATGCTAACCTGCACCCGACAAACACATTTCCCAGGCAGGTCGGGAGCTGGGGGAAATGTCGTTTGATGGAGAAAAAAATACTTAAGCCACTGACAGTGCACCATACCTGGCCCAGGGTCGAAACCAATTGCACAAAGTGCAAGCAACAAACCGAACAAAACAAATCAAACAGTTCCCCCGGAAGTGGGATCTGCCGCACTGGTATTGCGAAGGAACGGGACACGTGCTTATCCAGAGCGAATTCAGCTTGCTTGCAAGCAGAGCTTTTCAGAGACTTTGAGACACGTTCGCCAGTCAAAACATGCAGTTTCCACAGTGGGCGCGGACAACTCCTGTGGGTTTGTGGCATATTTGGCGGTGAGTGCCTGTGACCCTCTCAAAGTAATCCAGCCGCCAAGTCAGCCGCAAAACCACAGACCCCAGATTACTCAGAGTGAACCATTGCAGCAGTCGCCTGACGCGCGAAAAGGTTGGCGCCCCCTGATGTCTTGAGGGGCAAAAATGGTGACACCACCCGCAACACCCTGGTCACGTACCCTGCCCCCTGCCCTCTGCGATGCTCGCTCGGGCCTCAGTCTTCCTCAAGTCCACCGCCACCTGAACCGAGGCGGATCAGTGATCACCCGACTTCGAGCAGTGCGTGTCAAAAGCTGCCATCATGCTGCAAGTGTTGGAATCTAAGCTCCGAGGAAGCCACCTCAGGTTCCATCCAAGCCCCCTGCCAAAAAACCCCTGGACCTTCATGGGCCGCTCGCGACCCCGGGCATCCCGGCCACGCTGGGGGGCTCCTTGTCGCAGGGCTGGAAGTAGAGCCGCAGCTGCGGCTGCAAAACGCCTGAGGTGAGCCCCAACCCAGCCATGTCCTCGGTAGGGGACCCTGAAAAATGGCTGATGTCCCTTTGGTTCCCCGGCAGATATCAAAGCCAAAAGGGTTCCCTCAAAAAAAGCCGCACCCGTGGTGGGCTGACCAGCAATGAAGGTGGCCGAAATTCCCTGGGCTCTATGATCCCAACGAAGTAGCCTGAGGTAAGCAAATGGCTCGGTCTTCCAAAAAGAGTGCCGTGAAGAAAAAAAATGGAGCCTTCGGTGTCCATGCACAAGGATGAGGTCCCAAGTTCGTCTTCAGGGGTCTAGGTCGCTGCAAACATAGCATGCACGAAGGCGGAAGTTCAACCCTGGTCAAGAACGCCTTTCTGTCTCATTCTGTCCTCCAGCCACAGATCCCTTCCAACAATCATCCATGCATGAAAAAGCTGGCATGTCAGCATATGTGTGTATACACATGCTATCGTGCGTATCTATGCGTGTACCCATGCACAAATGCAGCTCACCTTCGCTGTTTTGGGCCCAACTTTTAGGCACGCCCTCGGATGCCATCTGCCTGCTGCCACTGCGATGTGCGACAGCTTCTGCTCGCAGCTGCTGCCCACCTGCTGCAAAGATCCACCCCACTGAGCTTTCGGCCCAAAGCTGACGGGAAAAATCGTGAGATCGGCTTCCTCCTACCCTCCCACCAGCTAACATGAGTTTGTGCACAGACCACTGTAGAAAGACGACTTTCCTCTCGGAAAGGGACTTTTTGCACTTCCATGAAAGTTGGTGGGAGGGTAATTGGCGATTAGGATTGGCACTTTGGAGGTGTCCCGGAATAGCTTCCCATTTACCCTCTACAAGATCCAGCGGATCGAATCCCCAAACCACCAATCCAAACCGAAGAAGAAAAGGACCCTCTACGCCAGTCAAAGCGAGGTTCGAACATTCCCCCCTTCAAAAGCCGATGCTCGCGCCGGGATATATGGCATGGTGCTTCTTGCTGCCCACCTCTGGTGGACAACAATGGATGATGATCAAGTCCACTGGCAACCAAGAAGAAAAGAGAAAGAAGCGTGTTTTTTGAGCTCTGCCTCCACACATGCACGGTTCTTGCTCTCGTGTCTTTCAACCAGGCCATAAACAACAAACCCTACAAGAATATGCCGTGAGCATTTGTCTGCCCCAAAACCCACAATCACATGCCCCGAAGAAAAGAAGGAAGGACCGCCCTCCCGGCTGACCAACCTGGAAGTTGGGGAAGGTCTCCTCGCTCCAAGTGGGCGCTGCGGAGGCCGCCTTCCATGTTGGAGGGGGGAGGGGGGGGGGGGGTGCCTCATAAAAGTCCGGGATGCCCCACAAAAAGGCTCCTGAATCCGGGATGAATACGAGTGTGCGTTCCATGGCTTAACTGCCATTTCTATTGAATGGTAGGCCCTTCCGTCCAACACATGCGAGCGGTTCACACAAGTACATGCTTAGTCAATTGCATGATATGTCAGGCTTCGTCGTCGTGCATCATACCGACCTTGCGTGAACGCTTTCGGCGATAGCGTTCTCCAGGAGGCAAAACCCGCCAAAGTATAGCCAGACGGCGAAGAAGCTCGTCCGTGCAGCACTTGCCCACGCGCCTGCGCAGTGCCTGCCGCCAACGTGCCAGCAGTCGTGGCGGTGAGCATCCCAGCCGCTGCGGGCGCAGCTGCAGCTGCGGGCGCCCCAGGGGCTGCGGGCGCCCCAGGGGCTGCGGGCGCCCCAGGGGCTGCGAGTGTCCCAGGGGCCGCGAGTGCCCCAGGGGCCGCGGGCGCCCCAGGGGCTGCGGGCACCCCAGCAGCTGCGGGCGCCCCAGGAGCCACAGGTGCTGCCGGGGCGGCCGGTGCTGGCGGGGCTGGCGGTGCTACCGCCCCTTGCTGTGGGGGAAACTGGTTCGTGAGCGCGGGCGAGGCGGTCACCGACTGCACCTCATTGGTGGCATGTTGTGAGCTCATCACAGACTTGCAGGCAATTCGCATGCATGGGCAAAAGCAACTCCTTGGCAACCTGGCAGCGACATCAGAGATCAAAAGGGATCCTTTGAATAACCTACATCAACAAAACACGGAAGGACTGACAGGCAACTGTCAGAGGTCACACACACGTCCCGTGCACTGGCTTGCCCTGCTCACATATTTGCCTTCCTGCACTTCCACTCACATCTTCTGCCAAGCCACCTGTAGCCCAGGCATCAGGCCCCCCAACGGTGGCAGCGTCGGGATCGCCTCGTCCTGCGGCTGCGGCGCTGGAGGGATCGGCGGAGCTGCCGGAGCCGCCGGAGCCGCCGGCGCCACCGGGGCCGCTGGGGGTGGGGGCGGGGCCGGGGCCACTGGGGGAGGGGGGGCCGGTGGTGAAGCCGGGGGTGGGGAAGGCGCCGGCTCCCAGGCGGTGAAGTCAGGCGCAGCTGCCGGCTCCTCCTCGCCAGGCCTTACGTACCTCAGAAGCGCCTTGCTAGGCAAGGTGTTCCACATGGAGTACCCCGTGTCAAAACCCTACCCGAAGACCGTCGCCACTGGGCCCGCGGCGCTCCAGGTTTCAATGGCCGGCCCTGGCTTGGCCCCAGATTTGGCCCCTCAGAGTTACCGCCCAGTGGTGGCTGTCGCAAATCAAGGAACCGGGGACATGGAGGATCAAAGGGCCAGGTGTGCCAAACCATGCTGAGCTGTCCTCAAACCAAAAACATGGGTGCTTGGAGAAATTCTGCTGATCTAGCTCTTGTTGCAGCCAAGTGACAGCATTACAAGGTGGAGAAGCAGTGACAAAGAGGCAATAACAGGAGATTCTGCCCAAGTTGGCTACTTCTGGAATGATCTTCAGGTGGTGCCTAGGAAACAAGTAAACGTTGTTGTACAATGTCTATGGCCCGTGTCACAAAACAGGGAAAAGGCCTTTGGAGACCATGACGAAAGGGGGGGATCAATGCGAACCAGAGGATGGCCGCAGCAAGCCAGGGAGAGGTGGTTGGCAAAACCAACGAAGTGAATCGAAGTGCTGCATGGACAGACTCGATCCTTGCTCTTGGCTGACTCTCCGGAAGGCCCTCGTCGCCCGAACCCAAGGCCCACAGCCCCAACGCTTTGGCCCGCGCCTCGCCCCGATCCCCAATCTGGGCGAAGCGCGAGGATGTGGGCGCTGGAGAGACCCACAAGAAGGTCGGTCAAAGCGGGGTGCTAGACATTTTGAGGAGCAGGCAACAGCCTTTTCGATGATGGGAGGAAGGTTTTGCCAGCAAATGACACTGCCTTTTTGGGAGCAGCAAGACCGCGATGTTAAAAGCTCAAGAATCCTTGGAAACGTTGAAAGGCGCTTCCTTTAATGCAAGCCCGCCCCTGTGGGCAGGACAACAGTGCCAGCGAGCCGGACTGTCTATTACATCCACCGCACTCTCTCGCGGCCAGCTCAAACGGAGTTTACTGCGAGGCCCTACGTGCACATGTTGCACATGGCTGGCATGCAGTCTTTCGCGTTGGGCCAGTGCTTGATTGATCAACCCGCGCCCTGGCCACGTGGTCCTAGCCACCCCCACCCCCCACCCCACCCCCCTCCCCCATCCCCTTCCAGGGGCCCGGGCGTCCAGCACCTGCGGCTCCACGGTGATCTCCCGCAGCTTCTCCTGGAGCTTCCGCGCCTCCGGCTTGGGCGTGGCCCGCCACTCGCTGCCCTGGCGGGGCGGGAGGGCGGGAGGCGGGCGCGAGCCAAGCGAACGGCGCTCGCATGCGCGCGTTTTTTTTCTCACCCGCCTGGATGCCAGCAAAGGCAAAGGCGTAGGAGGGCAAGTGCCCGGCACCGCACAGCCCTGGGGTGCTCAGCGGCACCTCGGCCCACCGTTTTTCAAGGACTTCCCCTCCTCGTGTGGCTGTGGAAAACCAAATCGAAGCAAAACTTGGCGCTCCAGATGTCGCCCGTGGTCCAGCTGCAGTGCCAAATGAAAGGCTGGGGGTGATTGAAGCGGAGCTCATGTTGCGATGCAGCTCCCAGCGCGCTTTGGGGAAGCGACTTGACGGAGCCATGCAACAAGCCTTGTCAAGCAAGAAACTCCTCTACTTCGAACAACCCCACGCGAAACAAAGATACCAATGCAGGCCCTGGTTGCAAGCCCTCCCCTGCCAACCCCACAGCCCCGAGCATTTTTCTTGCCCAAGAGGCCAAGGGCATGCGCGCGGGCGTGCCCGCGAGGGCAGCGGGCCCCGCATTTGCCAAGGTGTCCCAGACCTGAGGCTCGGCTCAGGCACAGATCCGGGCGAAAATCCCGATCTTTTCCAGGAAGCAACTGGGTGGTCTCCATTTGGGTTCCTCTTAAGGCTTGGGTTTGGGCTGTGCGACAACACGTGACCGCTCAGTTGAGGTAGGGCTACTGCGCCCATCTCAAACGCCTGGTGGCCACTGTGTCCTTGCCGTACCAACTTCCCAGAGCACTTTGCCCATGAGAAAACAGTTGTTCTCTCTACCAGCCAACACTGCGCGAGCACTTTCTTCTGGCACGCAAGCACGCACAAGGCAGCGTAAACATCCGCGTGCAGCCCTTGTAGCCGGTTCGTCTCGAACCCGTTTCGTTGACGCTGAGCCAGTGAGCAGAAGTTAGCCCTGCAAGCGCTCTGGCGCTTGAATCGAAACCGGGGCCGCGGCGGCGCCAGCCGAGGCCTCCTTGCCCACATTGCACGAAGCGCCGTCTGCCCTGGCCGGTCCATTTTTCAACGAGTGACTCAGATCAACAACCACTGGGGGCAAGGGGTGTGCGAAAACTAGTGTGGAGGCCCCAATGGTTAGCAAAGCGCCGTTAACCTGCTCTTGGAAAGCACCCTGGACGTATTCCTTGGGGGTCCTCTCGCATCTCGCCTTCAAACATTCAACGCTTGCGTCCTTTCCTGGCTGGTTCAACTCAGCGCCAATTCCACATGACACGTGTTGTTGCTTTGCACGGCTGCGATGGAAGATGTTGCTCGACTATCCATGGCACCAGTGCCCTGTTCAATAATAGCGACTAATTCGCTAGCAAACGGATTTCTCCGCATACGGTGCCGCACGCGTCCATGTCCAATACTCGAGCTTTGCAATAACCGTGTTGGGCATCATCAATCCACACTTCGCCCATCTTGAACACGGCTCGCTTAGCACTGGCACCATCAAACGAGTCGTTGACAACATTGGAAGTAGAGCCACTCGGAAGGGCCAACTAAGCTGCTCGGCACCCAGCCACGCAAAGGGTTTTCTTGCTAGCGCTCTGCAGGGAATGGGGGAATGACCCCTATAAACCATCCCTGGTGGTTCCTTGAAGGGGACCTCCGGTTCATTCCCGAATTCCCTACCTATCGCACCAGCAAGTTTCCCCTGCTGAAACCTGCTCCTGAACCCCACGGAAACATCCCAGAATCGGCTTGTAGGTTCTTTCCCTCACCCAAGGAGAATCCCCCAGAACCACTCCTCCACGCCAGCAGTGCAGCCAAGGCCTGCACGGGCAAAGCCACTCAACATATGCAGTTGCGAGTTTGGCTTGCTCCTGTCACGTGCCGCTCGCCATGCTTGTAAAGATCAAGATGAGTTCTCCTTTTGGATGCGCATGTGCAGGTCAAGCGTGCCTTTCGTCAGATTAAGGAAGCTGACAGGACCCTTTTGGTAAGGACCCCCCACTTCCATTTTGATGATGGGACACGGTGGAAAGCGGGAAAAACTCGACTCCCCACCTGGATGCAGCAGGCGCAGGTTTTGTTTCTGCCATTGGGCATGCATGGGTCGTGTGCCCCGCAGAATTCTGCGCTTAAAATAGGAGATCCTGAGATCTCCTGGCGATCATGAGACCTGACCGCGGCGAACCTGGCAATCACGCCCTGCTTCTACCCAAATCGCAGGGTCATTCCGGGTCACTGCTTGTGAGCGAGATGCAAAGCTTACACAAACATCGTCTGGCATCTCTGCTTCGCAAGACTAGTTTAAAGGAAGATGGCCATCTCTCGCCAAAAGCTGTAGACTTTGGTCACGGGTGAACACCGTTAACACCGGTTTGCTTTCTCTCTTCCCAGGGTGAAACCTGAGTCTCGAAAGCCTCAGACTACAGCATATAAGAAGCACTAAGCAGTCTGAGTCAACAAACCGTCTGAGTCAACGTGCGGAGCTGGAGTCTGATTCAGAGAAATCGCTAGAACCCAAATCCGCGGATCCGTCATCATCTTCTTTGTACCTCGGCATTGGACCAGTCAGCCCCTTGCAGTCTCGAAATAAAGTAGCACAAACTACGTAAGCCAGGTTAGCTCGAGGTGTCGTTCAATCGCGCTCGAGGTGCTTTTCTTAAACTCAACACCGCCGCCGAAGGAATCGGGAAGAAAGGCTAAGCTCCTAGAGGGCCCTTTCTATCCGGGGGACTACGAGAAGCAGGGATTTGCGTGGATTCCTCTCTCTGGATTGCATAAGTTTGCCTCAACATAACAACACCCCCCCAATATGTATATACATATATATATATATATATATTTGTGTGTGCGTATGTGTGTATGTATGTACGTACGTACGTACGTACGTACGTAGGTAGGTAGGTAGGTAGGTAGGTAGGTATGTATGTATGTATGTATGTATGTATCAATAGATCTATATATATATATATATCTTCATACCATCATATTTACATATCAATATCTCAGACGAAACTCACTTATTTCACACAAATAACTTCCCAAAAAGGTTAGCCTCTAATAAGAACAACACCCCCCTAAAAATTCCATTCCTCCCTCACCTCACCCCCTCCCCTCCCTCCACTCTCCGCTTCGGGCCGCGTGGGCTCCGGGATCTCGAAGTTGGGCACGGTGTCCAGGAACCGCAGGCGCCGGTCACGCACCGCCGCAGCCTCAGAGGGAGCCGGGAGCCAATCATTCCGCCTGCGCCCTTGCCAGTTGAGTGGCCTAAAGGCGCAGGGTGCGTCAACCGGGGTCACAACTTAGGACCTTAGCCTTACAACCATGGTAAGCGGGTAATATCCAGGGTTACCCGCTTTCCAAGTATCCTGCCCCTTCAAGTAGGAAAAGGGAGCTTGTGGGCTCAATCATTATCAGTGCCGAACCACAAACAAAACGAGCGGTCGGAAGGGTGCTGAAGAACTGGATTTCACCTCAAGTTGCTTCCCCCCTACAGATTGATGAGTATGAGTTGGCCAAAAAGGGAGTGCCGAAAAGGAGCCTCTAAAAATGCTGCTAGCGTGCCTCTAAAGAAAGGGGGCCAAACACCAAATCACCGGCGTGCCTCGGAAAATGAGCCTCGAGCAGGCAATTGGCGGCTGCCCTCTGGGACTGTGGGATAACCCAGCAAACAGGTGCCCTTTTCTTGCTGGTGCGATAGGTAGCGAACGACCAAGTCCAGATGTTGGGAATGAGTTTAGGGAATTTCCTTAAAGGAAACCAAATCTGGGATGGTTATTCCACTCATTCCCTGACCACCAGCCAGTGTTACTTCTACCGGTAATCCTTAAAGTCACACCCGAAAAACCCGAACCGAAAAAAATGACCCCACGCGCTCTGCTTTCCGCGGGGCGAGCTCCCAGGCGATGCCCGTCCAGCAGACCGCGTTCAGCAGCAGCAGGAGGAGGCGCCACTCCCAGAGCATGTCATCACCTAGGCACAGAGAGACAAGAAGAAAAAAGAGAAAGAGAAAAAGAGGAAGAGAAAGAGAGGAAGAGGAAGAGAAAGAGAAAAAGATCACCTAATCCGTATTGGGACACCACTACAAGGGAACAACCCACCCCTGGCATAAGAATTGAGGAGGGTGGTCAAATCCCTGACCGAAGCCCACGCCGTGCGGCCGAGCCAAATGCTCCGCATCCACAGCACTGCCACCAAGACAGCAGCCAGCCACCTGGAAGCAGACATTTGGATGGTCTCAAAAAATACTTCGGGGTAGTTCCATGCCCCCCGACCTGGTGGGGTGTCCAATTCTATTTGCCTGCTATTCCCCGAAGGGCTTCGGGGAAATGGAACCTGAAATGAAAAACTCCGGGGGGGGGGGGGGGCTCCCCCAGTTCCATGTTTAAGAGTGTGGAGATGTGGCTCCTCTTGAAAAACAGCAGGTGCCTTGCAGATTCTCGCCTCAATAGACCTCAGGCGACGTCCCCCGCCAATGGACTCCAAGTGGACCCCAAAGCCGACCCGGATCCGCACCCCCAAAGCGGCGAATCCCCCTCGATGCCCGCTCACCAAGAACGGGCATGGGTCAAAATAAGGGCACCCCGAAATCTTGCTTTCCTGGTTGTTTTCCCTTGGGATCAAGTTGAACAGCACCTTCAAAGACACAAAGCACACAAACAAACCAACCAACCAACCAACCAAACAAACAAACAAACAAACCAAACAAACAAACAAACAAACAAACAAACCAAACAAACCAAACAAACCAAACAAACCAAACAAACAAACAAACAAACAAACAAACAAACAAACCAAACAAACCAAACAAACAAACAAACAAACAAACAAACAAACAAACAAACCAAACAAACCAAACAAACAAACAAACAAACAAACAAACAAACAAACCAAACAAACCAAACAAACAAACAAACAAACAAACAAACAAACAAACAAACAAACAAACAAACCAAACAAACAAACAAACAAACAAACAAACAAACAAACAAACAAACAAACCAAACAAACAAACAAACAAACAAACAAACAAACAAACAAACCAAACAAACCAAACAAACAAACAAACAAACAAACAAACAAACAAACCAAACAAACCAAACAAACAAACAAACAAACAAACAAACAAACAAACCAAACAAACCAAACAAACAAACAAACAAACAAACAAACCAAACAAACCAAACAAACAAACAAACAAACAAACAAACAAACAAACAAACAAACCAAACAAACAAACAAACAAACAAACAAACAAACAAACAAACAAACAAACAAACAAACAAACAAACAAACAAACAAACAAACAAACAAACAAACCAAACAAACAACAACACAAACAAACAAACAAACAAACAAACAAACAAACCAACAAACAAACAAACAAACCAAACAAACCAAACAAACAAACAAACAAACAAACAAACAAACAAACCAAACAAACCAAACAAACAAACAAACAAACCAAACAAACCAAACAAACAAACAAACAAACAAACAAACAAACAAACAAACAAACCAAACAAACCAAACAAACAAACAAACAAACAAACAAACCAAACAAACCAAACAAACAAACAAACAAACAAACAAACCAAACAAACCAACCAACCAAACAAACAAACAAACAAACAAACAAACAAACCAAACAAACCAAACAAACAAACAAACAAACCAAACAAACCAAACAAACCAAACAAACCAAACAAACAAACAAACAAACAAACAAACAAACACGAACGCATGCCGTTCTTTTTTGTCAGAGCGCTTGGCGAGGATGCGGCACTGGAACCGGTGCCCGGGGAAGAACTCGTGCTTCACCTCCAGCTTGGCTCCAGACTTCAGGCCGCTGGCCTCACACCGCGGATGGGTCGAAATGAGTTTTGGGATGCCGTGCTCATGTGCAGAAGCAGAGTACTTAGTGGGTAACAACGGTGGTTATAGCCCACTTAGGACCTTAGACTTACAACCATGGCAAGTGTGTTACCAGGTTATTGCCCACTTGCTTGGTACCCTGCCTTACCCTGCCCCTTTAAGAAAGGGCCGGAGGCAAAGCCAGAGAAAAAATAGACGGGGCCAAACTGTGAGTGTGCCACCCATGTTTTTGGGATACCCCATTTGCGCTTGGCTTCCCCAGGTTTGCTTCCACCTGGGCATGCCGCATCACACTTCCTGCACTAAAAATGGAAGTGGGGCGGAACCTGGATTCATCCCCACCACGCAAACAGAGTGAGCCAAATTGACAACCCTGATCACTTTGGGGCCGCTTGTTCTGCGCGTGCGCAGAGGGGGGAGCAAAAAAAAAAAAAGGAAAGCATGCGCGTCTCTCTTTCCCTTCCCATCTCACGAATTCACGAACCCAGCGCCTGGCGAAGCCAAAGGGGGAAGGATCGGGGCCCCGGCCTCCAGGTCCCCCTGACAGAAGCAGTAGTGGGCAAGCATCTCCTGGGCCCAGACCAGCTCTTGTCGCGCACCGGGTCCCTGGAAAAAAAAAACACACCCCCCCCCCAAAACAAACACATCCCCCTTGAAGACTCAAGTAAACCAAAACTGGAGGTTCGTTTGGCGGCGTGTGGTAGGCGCAACACTATGGCCCTAAGCTTTACTTGGCTTGGCTCACACTGGGGAGCCTGCTGACCCCGTTTCACGTTTCTTCAAGGTCAGCTCGGGGCTTGACAAACCACCTCCACCCCTCCCTCAAGAGAATCCAAATGGCCCAGCATTGGCCCCGGAAGCAGGCGAAGGCGGCATCGTAGAGAAAACCCACCAACGCTGTAGTTACCACCACGTGGCAGAAGAAGTCCGCGAAAATCGCATAGGCCTCCACCCAACTAGGGTGTTCCCACTCGCTGGCACAGGCCACGTACCTACCGCATTGCCGCATGGCCAGGCCGAGCCTGGTGCGCTCTGAGGATTTTGTCAAATTCAGATCGGCCAACCCTCTGGCATCCTCACCTTGTGGAACCTCCGGGTCAATTTGGTGTCAGAAACCGGACTCCCCAACTTCGCTCCGAGGTTTCTTCACCGCGGGAATTGGGCAAGAAGAGCCCACTGGGCCGGATCGAGATGCGGATCGACACTTGGCCCTTGACCCCTTCGCAAAACATAAACTAGACCACGGTTGGCCCGAAAGCAGAACATCGCAAGCGAGGTCGGCCCAACGCTGCATCCCTACACGAAGCATTTGTGAAGCAAGCGCGAGACAGCACCAGGCAAGGTGCTCTGCGCAAACTGGTCGGTGCAAGTTGGTCTGCGCAAGTTGCTCTACGCAAGTTGCACTGTGCAAGTTGCTCTGCGCAAGTTGCTCCGCGCAAGTTGCTCCGGCAAGTTGGTCCCTGCAAGTGGCTCCCTGCAAGTTGCTCTGTGCAAATTGCGCTCCCTGCAAGTTGCTCTGTGCAAGCTGCTCTGTGCAAGTTGCTCTGTGCAAGTTGCTCTGCGTAAGTTGCTCTGCGCAAGTTGCTCTAGGCAAGGCGCTCTGCGCAAACTGGTCGGTGCAAGTTGGTCTGCGCAAGTTGCTCTGTGCAACTTGCTCTGCGCAAGTTGCTCTGCGCAAGTTGCTTTAAAATGCAAGTTGCATCTTGCGACGCCCGCCCGCGGACCAGGGAGGAATCGAACCCGCGACCCGCCGGTTCCGGGAGCAGGCGCGCGAACCACGAGACAACTCCCGAGGACCAGTTCGAACAACAAAAGTCGCAAAAAACCTCGAGTTTTTGCACCTCGACCACGCCGATTCCCGCAGAGGGTTGCGCGAGCACCGCAGAAATCGCAAAAAACCTCGAGTTTTTGCACCTCGACCACGCCGATCCCCGCAGAGGGTTGCGCGGGCACCGCAGAAATCGCAAAAAACCATGGGTTTTTGCACCTCGACCACGCCGATCCCCGCAGAGGGTCGCGCGAGCAGGTTAGAAATCGCAAAAAACCATGGGTTTTTGCACCTCGACCACGCCGATCCCCGCAGAGGGTCGCGCGGGCATGTTAGAAATCGCAAAAAACCATGGGTTTTTGCACCTCGACCACGCCGATCCCCGCAGAGGGTCGCGCGAGCAGGTTAGAAATCGCAAAAAACCATGGGTTTTTGCACCTCGACCACGCCGATCCCCGCAGAGGGTCGATTTTCGTGTAGTGTCGTCGGCACTACCCCGCCGCCCTAAGAAGAGATTTTAACTCCTCGCAAGTCAATTGCACTTGACTCCTTGCACTTGCAACTTGCACTTGCACTTGCAACTTGCACTTGACTCCATGCACTTGCAACTTGCACTTGACTCCATGCACTTGCAACTTGCACCTGACTCCTTGCACTTGCAACTTGCACTTGACTCCTTGCACTTGCAACTTGCACTTGACTCCATGCGCAGCTCGCAATGACTCTCATGACTCCTTGCAATGACTCCTTGCAATGACTCCTTGCAATGACTCCTTGCAATGACTCCTTGCAATGACTCCTTGCAATGACTCCTTGCAATGACTCCTTGCAATGACTCCTTGCAATGACTCCTTGCAATGACTCCTTGCAATGACTCCTTGCATGATGACTCCTTGCAATGACTCCTTGCAATGACTCCTTGCAATGACTCCTTGCAATGACTCCTTGCAATGACTCCTTGCAATGACTCCTTGCAATGACATGACTCCTTGCAATGACTCCTTGCAATGACTCCTTGCAATGACTCCTTGCAATGACTCCTTGCAATGACTCCTTGCAATGACTCCTTGCAATGACTCCTTGCAATGACTCCTTGCAATGACTCCTTGCAATGACTCCTTGCAATGACTCCTTGCAATGACTCCTTGCAATGACTTTCATGATGATGATTCCTTGCAATGACACCTTGTAATGACTCTCATGAGAACAACTCAAGTGAACCCAGCGGAAGAACCCTTCGCCATGCTTTCGGGAAAAAGAAGAATATGTATTTTGTTCTGGCCCCGTGTTCCCCAAAGAGAGGAGGGGGAAGAAACAAAAACCTGGCAGTCCGAAGATCCGAGCCAATCGCCAGGGACTTGGGGCGCAAGGTGAGGCCCGCGAAGATCCAGGAGAAGCCCAGGCCTGTGGCGTGGCCGCAGGTCCTGGCGAGCAAAAGACGCGGAAAGAAGAATCCGCCGCGCCGAAGCCAGCCCCCCCGTTGGAGGCTTTGGTGTTCCTAGGCGGCACCAAATGATGTGGCACCAAATGGGGACCTAATGGGGTGGCACCAAATGGGGGTGGACCTAATGGGGCCACTGATTTTTGGGCAATTTGGAGTTTGCCTCTTTGATTTTGGGGTGCCCTGGATAGTCTGCCCCTAAAGGAAGCTAGTGCCTGGCTTCGGACCCCAAGAAAACCACCTGGCTCGAAACGGATGTGCTGGCAGAGTCCTGGGGCAGTGGAACTTCATCTTCGGCACCTTCCTCAGCCGCAGCCCCAAGTCTTGTTGTCACTGAAAGCTCAAGCCACCTGATCTACAAGTAAGGCTCACTTGCCCTGGCTTCGCCTCAAACACACCATGCCAAGACTCCAAATGAACTCCACCAGGAGAATTCCCACGGAGACCCGACAGACGCCCTCGATAAAGGCAAAGTAGATGGACCAGCCAGGCCCCATGCATTCCTCCAACTCATCATCATCCCTGAGTTCGCGGTGCCGGCTGGCGATCGAGGGCTTCGGTTGGCAACCCCCGCAACTTGGAAGGAATGAGCCTGGCGCATCACATCGCGCAAGTGGAAGGGCACGGAAAGGCAGTCTTTTTGGATCTCATCCCTGACCAAAGCCACCAAGCCACCCAGAAGCACGCCCTCGAGCGAAAATGCCGAGCAGCAGGTCTTTGCACCCGGGGATCAAGTAAGGCACCACGAACCTGACCGACCCTTCGCGCCCCGGAAGGCAAGAACATATTTGGGGATGAGTATGGCAGGTACTCTCTAGCTCGCTCTATCTCTCTCTCTGACTTTGTATACATCTATGTATGTTTCTCCGGTTGGCAAGCCAGAGGTGGTAGGCTCCAGGGAGATTGCCCAGCTTCTAACTTTGATAACGCAGGGGAAAGACCTTGGAACAGCCAAACCCGCCCAAGGTGCCATCTTTTGCAAAAATCCGGGTGGGCTTCGGAAGGCCATTTACCATTTCCCTTAGCCCCTCCAAGTCCATTGGCAGGCAAAAGGTACGGGAAGCACACCACAGTGGCCTGCAACATGGCACAATTTACTTCCGGGTCAGTGGGGCGGCGATCACCCCAAATGTCTTGCAAAAAAGTCGCCGGAAACTTGCAATCCAAAAAATCCCTTCCTCAACTCACCGCCCAAACACGGCAAAATCCCCAGCTGAATGCCCCCCCAGCTCCCCGCCCTCTCCCCCTGGCAACCCTCGGCGTTTCTCGGCGCCAAGGATCTGCAGCGCGCCGAGCACCAGCGCGGAGAGCCAGCAGAGCGCGGTCTTCCAGCGGTGCCGCGTGCCTCGGTCCGGTCTCCCAAATGGAGCCAAGAACTCAACGGGGGAGGGGAGAACGTTGTGGTTTTTGTCTCCTGGGTGGTCGTAAGTTGACTCGGTTTTGGCCGGGATGCCTTTGGCTACTTGGGTCATTCACATCGAAACAATCCAACTTGATCATGCAGGAGTGAATCAGGCTCCCTTCCCCTTTTGTCCTCACAAAGCCACACTGCAATTAAGTTAGACCCCCGTCTCTTGCCTATTCGCAACTGCATCCCCCCGAAGGTCAAAACAGGTGCGGGAGCCAGTACATGGTCTGTGCGAACAGCCACGCCCTCTGCCCAACTGTGCCAAGCTACATCTCATCCGGCAAATCCCCGCCGCAATCCACAGGGATGGCCGGATGTTTTGCTTGTCCAGTGGGACTGCGATGATCATTCAACCTTCCGGAAGCCTCCTTAACAAACTGCTTGGGTGCTGTCTGTGCTCTGCCGCGCGCTCCGTGAGACCTCTGCCTACATGGTAAAGACAAGGATGCAATCGGCAGTTCCCGGCGATCTTCTTTGACATTGCCCCAATGCGGCTTGCTGGTTGTGTGACGTGGATGCGGCTTGATATCAATGTGTGGCTGGGTCTCTCCAGCGCGCTGCGCGTGGAGCACGTTGCATGTTGCATGTCCAGTGCGTTGAAAAAGCTGCGACAGGACTAATGACACTCTCTTCCAACAAGAAGAGGCTCGGGATTGAGGCTGGCAACGTGTTGCACAACCTTTTTACTTTACAGCCCCGTACCTTACTGAAAGGGAAGTAGAGGAACTGAGTCTTTTGAGACGACTCTGGGGTATGTTTGGGATTTGGATCCCATGAAACGTCGAACACATGTGCCTTTGCATCTCAAGCCGCTGTGCTCTGCTGCTAGTCGATCAGTCAAACGTCCAAACTGTCGGAAGTGAGGAAGGGCAGCCATGACCCAGAGACACCCCAAACCCGCGCACCCCGTCGGCACAACTTCTTTTCCGTCACAAGCTCGGCTCATGCAAGACCACCTCAGCGCCCTCCTGCCTGAGCGAAGGCGGGCGAGGAGACAAAACATGACTTGTTGGAGCCTGGCGTGGGAGCCCCGCACCCTGATGGAAGTGGATTACATTGCCACCAAAACCACGAGGTTCAATACGAGGCACGTCTCGGGGGCTGTTTCAAAGAGCTTCTGTAAAAGCAGAGCCCATTTAAAATCCACCCGGCGTGTTTTTGGAGGGTACCCTGTGTTTCTGCTAAATTTCAAGGCAACCCAAAAAGAAACCCAGCCTTTTTCTTGGGCCCCGCCCTCTATTTCAACACCTCCCCCCCTCCCCCACGTCCCCCACGTCCCCCCGTCCCAGGCGCAGCTGCAGCAGCAGCGCCGGCGCGTGCCGCTCCAAAGTGCCCGGCACAGGCACCTCTCCGAACCAGCGCCGGCCTCAAAAGTCCCAGAAAACGCCTCTGGCAGTCGGCCCTCGGTTTCTGGCAGTTCCCAACAACTATGGGAGCCTGCGTTGGCCTTCGGCCCAAAGGAAGAAAACAAAGTGTCGGACTTTGTGCTCCGGCATCGCGATGATACCGGCTTGATTTGCTTTGCGGGTTGGTGGAGAAACCGTTCAATTGTGCAAAACGTTGAAGGTTCAGGGTCCACACGGTCCGCAACCAGTCGATCAACTGGTGGGCCTCGAGCGTGGTGCCTCTGCCCTTCCATCGAGCGCAAGGCCGTGATGAGTTTTGAGCAACATTGGCTCAAGCAATCTAGTCAGCAATGCCACTTGCCAAACGAATGCATCAGCAATGCCACTTGCCAAACGAATGCACCATGAATCGCTTCCATAACTCCAGGCGCGAAACTGTCCCGGCATGGCCTTCCCACTGGAAGTCCCGGCCGCTCTCCGCGCATGCGAAGGTCACGGCCGGACCCGATGCTTCAAACCGCGCCGCCCAGCGCACGCCCTCCTGGGGCTGACCGTTCATCCCTTGGGGGAGAAAACAGTAGAAAGCGGTCGGAAACCTGTTTGCATCCGCAGTTCACCTGAACAGAAACAGGCAAACGACCGGCTTAAGACGCCTGCTGGAACATGTGCAGGAATGCCAAGTGGAGAAAGGCAACCCCACTTCGGCCCTCAACAATCTGAGCCATGGCGCATAAATGCCAGGAGTGTTTTGCACAGCACCGCTGCGCACAGCTCGTCTCTGATCGCATGCCTCCGGAAAAGTACCTATATATATATATATGTGTGTATCTTAATGTATTTATCTATCTATCTAGGTACTCGCATCTCCGTGGCCCGGCTCTCAACGTTCCGGGCTTTGCAGCCATGTGAACCTCATGGCTGCAACCTGCCCCGCCCAATTCCCTCGCCTTCCGGGCCGGGGGGTTCCAAGCCAGCGGGGCGCAGCGGCGGCCTGGTCCGAGCACCCCACCCACCGACGTAGACGCGGGCCGGAAACCAAACATGTATCTTGCAACACCTGTTGGAAATCAAAAATGTGGAGAAAAACCTACACCTGCACCCCAGAACATGAAAGTTTAGAAGTGTAGGATGAAACTGTCCCAGCGAAATTCGGCCTCGCCGCAACGGAACCTGTTTTGAGGTTGCGGTGAAGAAAGTAATTCAAACACTCGGGCGGGCTTGCCAGCTGTGGGAACGTTTCGGGAAACTGGCCGGTTGCCAAGGCAGATCAACTGTGCTCTTGGTTCTTGGCTATGCTTGCCCAGGTGCTAGTGCTAGTGCTAGATATGATGATGATGATGATGATGATGATGATGATGATGATATCATAATCATGATCATGATCATGATCATGATCATGATCATGATCATCGGCGATGACGATGATGATGATGATGATGATGATGATGATGATGATGATGATGATAATGATGATGATGATGATGATGATGATGATGACGGTATTAATGACAATGATGATGATGATGATGATGATGATGATGATGATGATGATGATGATGATGATGATGATGCTGATGATGATGATGATGATGATGATGTGATGATGATGATGAGGACGATGGACGACGATCGAATGACGATCGAATGACGATCGAATGACGATCGAATGACGATCGAATGACGATCGAATGACGATCGAATGACGATCGAATGACGATCGAATGACGATCATGGTGATCATGACGATCATGATGATCATTCTGATCATGATGGTCATGATCATGATTGAGGGATTGAGTTATGATCCCGAAGGGGGCGGAGAAGATGAGCAGCAGGCGGAAGCGAAGCAGGATTGCAATCACGAGCAAGTGGAGGAGAAGGAGTTGAGTAGATAATTGTTGGTCAGAGAGCGTTTCAGCTTGTGCCTCGCCCCTGTTCCCACCTCTCCCCGGCCCGCAAACCCCTCGCTCCTCCGCCCAGGCGTGCCCCGCTGCTGCAGGAAATCCACCACCCCGGCGCCGGGAGAGGAGCTACCGGGTTCTCCACCTCCGTATCCTGATGTGGGAGGGGGGCAGCGAAGAGGTACCGGAGCTCGGTGTCCTGCCAAAAAACGAGAGACTACTTTACCACTTTGAAGCGGGTTGGCGCGGCCCTACAGACCTGGCCCGAGCAGAAGACATGGCACCTTCAAAAATGGCAGGGACCCGTGCGATCAGCCCAAGGGTCAGGTGTAGAGTGGGGAGAGTTCTGACAATCAGCAAAGTCCATGGGATCTTGCTTGGCGACCTGCCAGATTGGTTTACACTCCAATCTGACTAACGTGGAACCCGCACAGGGGGAGTATGGCCGCAGCAAAACGATCAAAGCAAACTTCGCTTCTCGTCCTCCGGCCATACTCCCAGCATCACTTCCGACCAGCCGCGAAGCTCCACATGCACTTCCGGAGGCGGGGGAGGGGGGCGCGGCTTGGCCTGCACTCAACTCGCAGCCTCAAGGCCAGCTTTCGGGGAATACTCAACATCTGCAAAACTAGTCCTCTCATCGCCTTTCGTGGTTGTACTTTGCCAAAGGGAAACCAAACACAACGAAACACGGTGGTAGCTCCCGCCAACTTCTCATGAAACTTGCCGGGGGCGGGGGGTCCCTGCAAGAACACTTCTCCCCTCAAGAGACTTTCTGCTGGCATCGCCCCAGCAGTTCCGACCTTGGTTGTGGCTTTCGGGTCCGGCTTTGGCCGCGGGGGCCGCCAAAGACTGCAGGCAGCAAAGGCCTTGCAGGGGACGGTCGCACCCCGCAAACACACATGAGCGGATTTGGAGAAACCTAGACCGAACAGTTAGAGCATCCATGTTTGAGGCTCACGGCAGAGCTCACAATGCGCCCTTTACGATAGGACGGCAGGCTGGCGATCATCCGATATCCATCCACGGTCGAGTTCACGCTCTGTGACACAAGGGAAAATGAGACTCCACGCGCGTGTCCCTCGGAAACTTGTTAGCAGAAGGCATGCATTTCAAACCTTCTGAAATGAATCGCTACGTCTGGTACAGCCAAGAATGATTGCAACAAAACAACTGTTTAAAAAAATAAAAAATAAAAAAAAAAAAGAACTATATGCGTACGTGTATATACATATATACTTATGTATAATCTGCGTGTTCATCTATACACATTTATGGTACCCCCCGCAGTGGTTTGTGCCTTTTTTGGGGCTTTGGGGAAAGCAGCAAACAAAGGCATTTCCACAGACAATCTGAAAGCTTTAGGCCAAACTTTTCCAGGGAATATTGACTCCAGTCGGTTTGGATCTACCTCGATCCTATTCCTAAGCTGAGGCAATGCAAAACAACAACTATGTTGGAGCCATTGGCCCAAAACTGAAAAGGACCATGGGCTGATTTGTTTTACTTTTACTTGTTTACTTTTACTGTTTGAATGTTTTCCTTGTGTGTTTTACTTGTTTTACTTTATTATGATTTCTTTAAAAATAATAATAAAAATAATAATAAGAAATAAAAAAAAAAGAAAAAAGAAAAAAAAGTGCTTACTTGATTGTTCTAACAAATGTACCCTTTTATAACTTATTTACATGTTTGCTTTTACTTTTTTACATGTGTTTGTGTTTTACTTTTGGGTCATTGGCTCCAGACATTTCCTTCACTTTTTTTGCTTTTGAGTCTCTGGCTCCAGAAGTTTACTTTCTTTGCTCTTGGGCCATTGGCTCCACATGTTTTGTGTTTGTTTTGTTGTTTTTTTCTTTTTTATGTTTTTACTTCTGTGTCATTTGCTCCAGAACTTTACGCTTTTACTTTTGGGCTATTGGCTCCGTAATTTTACCTAGCTGCTGGCGTGCAGCTTCTGACCAGAACTGAGCTTAGAATGGAGTGGTTTGGGGTGTAGGGTTTGGGAGTTTATTGACTCACGTTTATAGGATTCGGACTTATTTCTTGTAATTGGTTTGTTCAATGAATTTCATTGGAAACATGCTTGTTTGTGCAACAACATGCTTCCTTGCCTGTGTAGTGTTTTCTGCTTGGAATTCAACGTATTCGATAAGGATTACACGTCAAAAAAACAGTAGAATTCTTGTCTCAACATAGATTTGAAAGATGCCGTTAAAAGGGGATCTGTTTCTAGGAGTGTGATGGTTCCATTTTCTCAAAAGAATTGACATGGAACTTAATAAGGAACACACCCTAGTAGAGTTTCTAGTTTAAAGAGAAACTAAGAAAGATGTCCTTGTCGAGCTAGATGTGTAGTCAAGTTCTTACTTGAACCTAGATGTTCAAACGGGTTGATTTGTTGGCATAGGTTCAATAAAATTTAATAAGTACAAAATTGTATTGGAATGGTTAGCTTTAAAGATAATTTACATAGTGTGTTCTTTTGCTTAAGGTGGTTGATGATTGGAATTCTTAAAATAGATGTTCGAAAGGATGTCTTTGTCCATGATGGTTTGTTCAATCTTCTAATGGACCTTAAATAGACATTGACAGTGAACAACACCTACAATATAATGTCTAGACTTAAAGATGGGTTGAATAGATTCTCCACTTTGAAGAACATTGTTAATTGGGATGCTTGCTTCAAAACATGTTTGAAAGAGAACGTCCTTTCCCAGCATATTGTCCCCCAACAGCTGAAAGCTTTGGGGCCTCAGCCCAGATAGGTCCCGGGGTGGTCCGGGGCGGCCCTGAGGTAAGGTTCCACAAGGGTTCCACCAGGGTTCCACCAGGGTTTTACGAGGGTTCCACGAGGTTCTGCGAGGGGAGAGCACCGCATGCTGTTGGGAGCTTGTTTCTTCACTTTCTATTTAGAATTTACTGGAATCTAATCAGGAAATAATTATAGTAGAATCTCCAGTTTTAAAGAAAATTTAAATAGGACTTCCTTTTCAACGAAAACACACAATTGGAGTTGTTATCCCCAATTAGATTTTGAAGAGGACTTCCTTGCTTAGAGTGAGCTGATACTGGTCAAGTCGCATGGGGCATTCCAAATAAAACAACTGCATTCCATCTCCAAAATAGCCTTCAACCAGCAAAAAGGTAGATCCGCCGGGGGAATTGCATAGTTATGTGTGTAGTTCATTGTTGTTGATTTATTTAGTTATTTGTTTACATTTTTATGTATTGTTCTATTGATTTATTGATTTATTGAATTATTGATTTATTGATTTATTGATCTATTTATTTTATTTATTTAATTCCCCAACAGCTGGAAGCTTTGGAGTCTCAGCCCAGATAGGCTTCGGGGTGGTGCGGGGCGGCCCTGAGGTAAGGTTCCACGAGATTTCCACCAGGGTTCCACGAGGGTTCCACGAGGTTCTGCGAGGGCTGCGGGGTGGTGCGAGCACCAGAAAGAGCACCGCATGCTGTGGGGGATATCACATGAGCTTAGTTAATTTGTTTATGTGTTTATTCATGTATTTACTGATTTATGTATGTATGTATTTATTTATTCATTTATTTGTTTATTTGTCTATTTATCTATATATTCGTTTATTCATGTATTTATTGATTTATGTATGTATGTATTTATGTATTTGTTTATTTGATCATGTATGTGTGAATGTATTTACTTATTTAATTGTCTAGTTAGCTAGTTATTTATTTATTTGTCTAGATACTTCTGCATTTATCTATTTATGAATTTATGTGTGTGTGTGTGTTGTGTTGCCCTGCTTCCATTGGCTTCCAAAAGAAGCTGACCTCTTTAGGGGGTCGCCAGTTTTGAGCCTCATATATATTGCAAGACCAATCTTTGCTCAACCTCAACAAGCGGCCTCACAGGGAGTGCCTCGAGGAGCATTCGCGCGGATGACCTGAGACCCGCAAACGCAGCATGCCAAGAAGTTGGTCTAACACTTGTATATGTACATCAATGTACACATATCTACATCAGACACTGTTTAATTTCGGTCGTAGTAACAAAACCTGGCCAATTGTTTTGCTCCTAGGACCGCAACGAGACACAAACTAGGACCAAAACGACGCCCTTGGAGAAGGGAGGCCAAGAGTCTCTCCAAACGAACGCTCAGGCCATCCCCAACGTGGAAAGCCGGCTCCCACACTTCTGGCCTCCTTTGCCAAATTTCAAACTCCTGCCAGAATTTTAGGAACCGAATTCTCGCGTCACGCGCAGCAGTGGGTGACCGTCCCTGCCCCAGTCGGCCAAATGATAATCCCAGCGACCAGGAACTCGCTGACAGGCCGTGGACCGCGTTTCCCCCACAAAACTGACGCAAGATGCCAAAAGAGGGGCCCGGGCCATGAGAACGCAACCCTTCAACCAAGCCCTTCAGGGCTTCAAAGCTGCCTGCCGAGAGCCGTGGAAAGACTCGAGTAAAAAACCCGGCCGTCGACTACCACAGGCACCTAGAACATCTGGAATCTTGTTTCTATCCGGTGAGGCGCTACGGAGAAGTGCTTCCGAGCGGCCCACTTCCCATCCTCGCGCTCGATGTGCAGGGACGGGTGGCCGGACGGCATCTCAGTGCGAAAGTACCTCTGCTCCTCCGCCGAGCCCTGCACCAGCCTCGCGGCGCGCGCGCGCGCCGCGCGAGGAAGCAAGGAACCACGTCACGCTGAGCCAAACCAAAAAGACACGGTCCAAATTGGGGAAGAAACTGACTCGCGCACTTGCTTGTTTGAACCCATGGGAACCTTTCTGACAAGGGTCTAAGGATCCGAGGAACACCTTCCCAGCATCCATCAGCTGCCGCAGCACCTGCGATTCATGCGCCACGGGTTGGGAAACTCTTACAAAAAGGGAGCACTTCTCGTTCGTCTCTTTAAGGTTCCTTTTGCCCCTTAACTCGTGGGCTGTAGAAAGTCAAAGAGGGGCGATGGTTGCTCTTGAAAAGGGCCTCTGAACCCGAAAGTCACAAAGCGCATCACCTCCCGGACCCGGGCTTCCATCACTCTGGCTTGGAGCGACAGCTAGTCGCTGCATTGCCTGGCTGAATTGCTTCTTGAGACCCAAGCAACCGAAAAGCTGTGCCCTCCCAGCGCGGCCTCCTGCAGCTGCTTCATTCGCGGCGGCTTCGGAAGGAAGCGATAGAAGTCCATGGCGGTGAGGACACTGACCTCAGCAAGGAGAGGGACCTGCACGGCCGGCTAGGTTGAAGTGCTTTTGGGCCACGAAAAACCATCCCTGAAGAAACATTCCGCTTCGAGGAATGGCCGGCTCAGTCAAACGCCCGCCACTGAGTTCGGGGAACCCGCTTGGGGCGACGTTCTTGCCGAGCGTCCTTGCCCAAAGTCTGCATCACCTTGGGACCCGCTCTGTCAGAGCCGGGCGTACGAGTTTGACCCATTGCATGCCGAAACGCACGTGTGAACCGCCATCTTGAGATGCCCCCAAAATGTGAAGAACGTGTTTGCTCCTATACTCTCATCCTTTTGTCTACATTGGAGGAACCGCCCCGAAATTCACTCCCATACCCTTGAATTCAACCCCCAGATTCCTTCGAGAGGTTGCGCTCCCCCTGCCTCCCAGCAGGGTTGGGCCAAGCAAACGTTGTCTCAAAATAGAAGGGGAACCAAAGGACACCAACAGCCTGGAAGGGTCCTACCCAATAGAGACATTGTCGAAAACCAATCAAAAAACCATCGTGCCACCAGCACTTCACTTCCACTCATTTATGGCTGATGTCAAACGACGTGAAGAATAAACTCCTTCCAACGCAAGTAGATAAACCAGGGCGGCCGCAAAAGGACCTGACGCTGACTTCGCATTTTGACGCCGCATTCGAGAAACCTGTGACGTCTCATTCTCTGACGCTCGCATTCTCTGACGCCACACTCTCCCCTGGTTCTCTGGCGCAATATTTTCGGCTGACGCCGTGTTGCGACGCCGCATTGCGACCCCGCGTTCTTCCCTGACCCCTGACACCACATCCACTCCTGACGCCGCATTCCTGGTTGACGCCACACTCCGACACCACATTCCTCCCTGACGCCGCATTCCCGGCTAACGCCGTATTCCGTCGCCGCGTTTCCTGACGCCACAGTCTTGCTGACGCCGCATTCCCGGCTGACGCCGCATTCCGATGCTACACTCTCTGACACTAAATTCCCCCCCCCCCCCCGTGTTTGCTTTTTAGAAGTCAGCATGGAACGATGCGATCATGACAGCACAATCACCAGACGAGACGCGTTCCCACTCAATGACAATCTCATTGCACAATTTTCATCATCCAGAGAGAAAGATTGATCAGTGCAATGTTTCTGAGGAACATCCAGAAAAAGATAAGGACAAGGAAAATCAAGAAGCAAAAAGGGTGGTCAATCGTAATGCAATCCAACATCAGAACACCAACGCCGACAAGAACTGGCGCAAGCCAGTACAGTGTCTGCACACACTCTGTCAGTGACGACCAATCACAGCCTGCTAGCAACAAAACTCACGGCGTTGGTCATCAATCCACAACAACACAACCGATGCAATCCTTGACAACGGATGCACTAGGTCTATGGGCAGCTGACATGCAATCCAGCGATTCACACAGGCCATCGAACCAATGAAGAGCCTCGTTTCCTATAAGTACACTCCGGCCGATACCAAGTTTACTTTTACCAGCCGAGAGACAGTCAACGTATCATGGAGAAGTTGCTGCGAAAAGCTTGGATCACAAAGGCAGGATGACTGGCAGTCAATCTTGACCATATCAGCCGTGAAAGTGTCACTCAGATAACTGACGCAATACAAGGTGGAGATCCCGAAATTCTGGAATTACATCCCAGGCAAACAAACCATTGGTCAACCTGTGGAAAGGCAAGACCATCTTCACCTTCGCGGACAAGAAGCAGTTCAAGATCATGCTTAGGTCCATCACTGCAGGACCTGGAACCTCACTCAAAAAGGTCACGCACTGACAAAAAACAGAAACCATCGTTACAACACCGACGCAACCGACGCTTGATAAGACCAATGAGGAGCTGACAGCATTTCAATTCCGCGGCCCAAACAGGCATCCCAAGGAATCCGAAGAGAGACCTCGCACAGAATGTCCGAGACTTGTTCAGATGAAAAAGACAAGGTATTTTGGCAGGACTCGCTCCTCGTGTCCCTACATCATCGAGCACTGGAAGTCAGAAAACCATGAGACACACTGACCAAGAAGACGGTGAATCACAAGACTCGCAGCATACGATGATCAGGAAGCTGACCTGGTGCTTGACGAGGCACACTGGTCCTACATGACCGAAGCTCAGAAGGTCTGTGCCAATACTGCATCCTTTCTTTGCGGTTCCGAGAAACATCTAAAGAAGCCCTGTTCTCCTCAGAAGAAGTAAGAGCGCCCTAAACCGACCTGATGAGAGATTCACTGACAAGAGCCATGTGGACCGGATATGCAATCATCGTGCACTCTAGTTTGTTGCTCATCCAAGCAAGAATCGTCAATAGCATCAACAACATCCGCGCTCATTGGAAAAGAGCAGAGGGAAGCAAAAGCCAATAAAATACGATCTTACCAGAAGCAACTCCTTGAGGTAAAATTAGGAGAGTGCCAGTGTTGGCTTGGTAACGACGTGTTCGCGCATGATCAAGGTCAGGAACTCGGCTCCCGGCTGTTGACTCCTTACCCTTAAACGAGACAGGGACGATAACTTCCTGAAGGGCAAGGCTCAATGGGTGGGTCCGCCGCGGCTTCCAAGACAAACAGAAGGACGATCAGCAGACTGACAGTCCTGCCGCGTCCAGGAGTTATCCACTAGCAATCCAAGCAGCCGCAAACAGACGCTGGAGGCTTTCACATGGGTTTGAAGACTGCCGTCCTCCAAGGAGCACGCGATCAGAATCGAGACATCATCTGACAAAAATATCTACTATGTAGGGGGCCGTCTATGAAAAGAGGACAAGATTACCACGACCGTTCGCTGTCAGCATGCTTGCTCAACAGCATTTAGGAGAGGAACTGACGTTCTTGAGGGAACTGGTCTTCAGGGAATTCGTCTTCGCAATTCGTCTCGTCTTCGCAATTCGTCTGCGGGGGGAATTCGGCGTCAAGGGAAAATTCGGCTTCGCGGATTTTGTCTTCGCAGTTCGTCTTCGGGGGGGAATTCGTCTCGGGAAAGTGCCTTCGCAATTCGTTTTCGGCAGGAACTCGGCTTCGGGAGGGAGCTTGGCTCCGGCGAATCAATTCGTCTTCAGGGTAGAATTCGGCTTCGGGGCGGAATTCGTCTTCGGTGGGAAAGTACGACTGCCCCAGCGTCTGCAATGAAAGAATAAACATCAGAACGAACTTTGGCACGTTGCATATCAAATAATCAGGACTGTGTTAATGTCGACCCCAGATCAATAAACCCCTTTTTATTGACAGGTGGTTGTCCCTGTTTTTAATAGGAGAACATCACGGTTGGAGGGGAACACCCCCCTACAGTTAAGAGTTTGAATTGCAGGGAACCTCTGGAAACAGTAGAACAATTATTTAGCAAAAAATAGCAACAAAATTAGCAAATTAAATTGCACTGGAACTATAGTTTCGGCAAATGCGTTCGCCAAGCGCTGGCCAAGATTAGCAACAATTAGCAAAAGTTAGTAAATTAGCAACCCGCTCGCAAAATGAGCTTCCAGGCGGCCAAAACCACGAGAGGGTTGAGAAATATTGCTATGTTTTGCAAATGTGTTCGCCAAGCCAAAATTAGCAAACATTAGAAAAAATTAGTTTAACAAAAAAAAAGCAACCCTCTCGCAAAATGAGCTTCCAGGGGGCCAAAACCACGAGATGGGCCAAAGTTTGTTTGAACGTTAAAGTGCTCAATGTTGACCCCGCATGAATAAGCCCCTGTAGGGTTGAGAGTTGGAAGACTGGCAACCACTGAATGGGTCTCCAGGAATTATTATAGCAAAACATAGTAATTGAATTGCAAAGGGGAATTGCAATCGAGGTCAGGTGGATTTCCATTTTGCACTTCTAGATCGCAACAGCTTTGAGCTGGGCTTTCATTTAGCTGACGGCAGCAACGGTCAATGCTGAATGGCATTGCTCCTGCAACAATGATGGACCTCCTTCACTGATCGTGTTTGCTATTTTTTGCTATTTTTGCTAATTTTCCATGTTTTTTTTAACAAATTTTTGCTAATCTTGGCCAGCGCTTGGCGAACGCATTTGCAAAACATTGCAATATTTAGTTTTGCTAATATTTAGCAACCCAACCCAGCACTTCGCGCTCCGCATCTCCGCATCTCCAAGGCGCCGCAGCCGCCAGGCTGGCGTCTTTCTGGTGCAGCTGCAAATGCACCTCCGCCAGGGCAGCGCAAGAGCCGTCGCCTGACATAGAAGAACGGACCTCCGACCAGGGAAAGACCCTGAAAAAAAAATAGATCCAAGAAGCCGTCCAAACGACCTGGAAATGAAAGGATAGCTTTTTGGGGCAATGACTAAAATGGACAAAACTGGGAAAACCAAAAGGTCAAAAAGCCGGCCGACAAGTGAGAACCAGCCACAGGAGATTGGACAGGAAGTTGCACAAACACCCAAAACCTCTTGACTTTCGGTGGATGTCTAACTTCCTGAACTTCCTGTGTCTGGCTTCTATGAAAGGAGTGATGGGAGCAGAAACCATCCAGAAAACCAAGCTGGTGTGAAAAGGGCGGAAAAACATCCTTGCGCTGCAAAGCAGCACCCGTGCACGCACCCTGGTTCTCGCAGGAGATGTGAAGAGCAACCACACAAATGCATCAGCATGAGGATTTCCTTCATTTTGGGCAGCATGCATGTCTGAAAGTGCCACATTGATGAATTCCTCAAATTCCTGGCTTGCCTCCGGTTTCCCTCACTATGTCAATCGCTTCCCGCTTCTCTGTAAACTTGGCATGAAAGAACACATTGGAAAGACAATCCTTTTCCTCTCTTTTGGATCGTCCAGGATCCCCTAGCTTCCATAGCAACGCGGAGGCTAGCATTCCTTGGCCCAATGCCAGGAGGATTCCTCCCTCTATCCTTCCCTTCCCAACAAGACAATGAGTTTTCCTAGCCGGGTGTTAGAAAGCCAGGGCTCCCATCCCGTCCAAGCGGCACTCCTGGCGCAGCCGCTCGATCCGCTCCTCGAAGCTACGGCGCACCACGGCCTCCAAAGCCGACTGGTCCCGGTCGTCGAACAAACTCAGCGTGAAGCTCCGGCACACGTCCTCGAGACGCATGCGCGCGTAAGCGCGCGAAAACCACACGAGGCTATATATCTAGATAGATAGACATATATATATATATTATATATTATACATATATATATATATAGTTTGAGAATTGATTTTAAGCGACCTCAATCTTAGTTTTAAAGGCTACGATCTGAGTGAAATATAGAAGGAGCTAGTTCCAGAAACACCACAGCTTTTGGTTCGATGTCTTATACTTGTTTGGTTGACATTGGGAGGTCTGAGAAAAAACGCTCGTGTGCAGTAAAGGGGTGGATAAATTTGATCGGATAAAACCTTCGCATGCCTCTGGCTGGAACATGCCTTCCAACAGTTGCTTCTGGCGCCCGAGCACACGTTGCAGGCTGTCTGCCCGGTTTTGGGATTTGTTCCGGAATCCAAAAAGATCAAGAACCCAGTGATGCAGGTGGAGATGTGAATCAGACGGCCTTTCAAAACAATCACACACGGCCACCTTTTTTGTGGAAAGCCCGGCCAAAAGTGCGGCCAGGGGGAGGCGGTTGCCCATATGTAAGCCGCAGCGGCTCGAGGCACGTCAGGCTTTGGTCCACGCCCAGGCGCCTGCGCAACGCGCAACGCCCCGCCAAGCAAACAGAAAGTCTCCCCTGGTAAAGTCACTGACAAGTGAGAAAACCAAAGGCCTCTGCCTCCCCTACAGGTTCTTGGAACCTTCATGGAAGGGCTTGTTGGTTGATTGATATTTTTCTTTCTAGAGGCCCGCCAGGCCGGCCTGCAAGGGCAGGGAAGCCGCCAGCTTGCCCAAGAACTCCTCTTTGACCTGCTGGAAGCATTCCTGGCGAGCTGGGTGGAGGCCAAAAACAGAAGAGGGAAAGGAAACCAACCTGCTTGGGTCCCAGTGTGCCTGTTCAAGTTAGAGCCAAAACAAGGAAGTGGCCCATCCTCAGCACCTCAGAGTGGGCGACTGGACATGCCTTGCCGGACCAAAGGCCGCGAAAAGTACAGGTGCGTCTTTTGGCATGCCGAGCTGGTTTCACAAAGGACCCTGCGAAGTCCTGCACTTGGGAGGGAACCCCATGAGTTGAATACTGGGATAAATCACCTGCCAACTTGTGCAGGATTTTGACCACAAGGAGTTGTGCTTGTGGCAGGGTACCTACCTATATAAATATCCCACAGTATGTTTTAGAACCACCCTTGTGTGTGTGTGTGTGTGTCTGCGTGTGCGTGTGCGTGTGCGTGTGCGTGTGCGCGTGCGCGTGCGCGTGCGCGTGCGTGTGCGTGTGCGTGTGCGTGTGCGTGCGCGTGCGTGCGTGCGTGCGTGCGTGCATGCGTGGCGTGGCGTGGCGTGGCGTGGCGTGGCGTGGCGTGGCGTGGCGTGGCGTGGCGTGGCGTGGCGTGTGCGTGGCGTGCGCGCGTGCGCGCGTGCGCGCGGCTTCGCGCGCGTGTCGCCGGCGGAGTCTGCGCCGCGTCGA